GGGGGGGGGGGTGTGCTGTGTTGGCTCTTAGTTGCTGCCTTGAGGTGCGGGAGCTCAGTAGTGGCCCTGCATGGGCTTAGCTGCCTAGCAGCACGTGGGAGCACGTGGGACCTTAGTTCCCGCACCAGGGATTGAACCCGAGTCCCCTGCATTGGAAGGCGGATTCTCTACCATGGGACCACGGGCGAAGTCCCTTGAGTGAAACTATAATGAAGGTTGAAAGAAGGTCCGTCCTCCAGGCCACCTGCTAAGACGTGGCACACAGCCCTGTCCTCGAGGTTCATTGTAACCCTTGTCAGCGGATGGGGTCTTCATCCTCCCCGACGTGTTCTTGCCAAAAGCCCTTATCTGAAATCTGAATAACAGCGTTTTGCTTGTTATAATTTCTTATAGGTAGTTCAACCCATGTGTCTGTCGCGCTTCTCCAAAGACGACGGCGGGACCAGGCAACACTGCCCCTCCTGAGGGTGAGCGGGGGCGCCGCGCGTCACGCGGAAGGAGGGTCCACACCGAGGCCTGGATTCGGGCTCTCACGCGAGTTCCGCTTCCTCCTTCAGCCCCCCCGCCCCGCCCCCGTCCCCACGCCCGCAGCTGAAGTTACCCGGCCTCTCCCTTCTTCATCTGTGAGGGTCAAACAGACGGTGGTGGCGAAGGCCCGAGGAGGGCGGCCGCGCTCAAGCGCTTGTTCTGGAAGCGGGAGCCGCCGGAGGCCGTGAGCCCCCGCGCCCAGCGCGCCCCGCAGAGGCCCCGAGGCGGGGCACCGGCCACTCCTGTGTCCTCTCCACACCTCACGACCCTCCCGCCAGAGAGGTGAAGGCACGAAGGACGAGGTGAGACTCCCCCACCACAGTCTCAAGGCGCTCCCTCCCGCCGAGCGGCGACCCCGCTTCCGGCGCCAGCGCGCACTTCCGGTCCCTCGCAGTCGCCGGGCACGCAGCCCCAGACGGTTAATGCGACCAGAGACTTCCACCTTCTCGCAGGCACTGCCGCCTCCCGGAGTTCACGCCTTCCTGGGCGCCGGCTGTTGCTTCGCGGGCCGCGCGGCCCCGCGCTTGCACGAAGCCCCATAGTGACCCTCGGGGGATGGCACAGCCCGGGTCCCCGCGTGGCCGTCGGGCGGGGGCCGCACACCGGACCTCAGCTCCGGTCCCCGCTGCGGCGGGAGGGTGCAGCGCGTGCACGGAAGGCCGGTGTCCGCGCGCTGCCCGGGGACCCTCCTTCGGTCCCCAAGCGTGGCAAGCAGCGGTGTCTGCGCAGGAGGTCGTGTGCTCTGGGATCATGAAACACGTTTCTAGGTAGCCCTTCAGGAAGACAGGCACCAAGATTTGGGGGAAGGTTTCTGTTTTTCACCGTCCTCCGCGAGATGAGCTGCAGCCCGTGAGCATTCCTGTTTCTTGGCGTTAACAGTTGTATCACCTGCATACTGGCTGTTCCGTGCGAGCAGCACGGTTCTGCTCCGCTTTTCAGTATCTGGGTCCTCTATTCGTTGGAGATTCAAGCACGTGCGGAGGCGGCGGGCAGGGCCCAGGGAAGCTTCCTAAGAGGCGGCGGGCAGCCGGCTCCCTCTGCTTCCTCCCTGCAACCCCCACCTACACGCCCCTCCTTGCAGCTCCCCCACCTTACAGAGTCTCCCCCGTGTGCAGGAGGCGGCCAGGGTCCCAGAGGCGCCTCTCCTAACCCGACAGCGCCCGGTCCTGCTGGGCTGAGGCCGCCAGGGACCAACTCCCTGGGGCTGAGTAAGTAGGTGGGGGCCGGTGGCGACCCCCATCACACGGACACACCAAGAGGACCTGGCAGGGCCTCACCCCAGTCCCTTGGCACCCCCTTCTGCTTGCTGTGGCCCCGGGCACCAGAAGTACAGCAGTTACTGTTCCCAGAAGCTGCCCTCACCCAGCGCCCGGCCCCTCAGCCGGGGTGGGTGCTCCCCAGCAGCACTCAGCTCGAAGCCGCCGCGTCCATGGTTTGCTGACACACCTTTTATTAGATGCTTTCCCTCCCCTGGCTCACGTCCCGCTCGGTACGGGGTTTCCTGGGATTGAGACCCAAGGAAATGACTAGCATTTGAACCCTGGTCCCAGGCTCTGCTTACAGGGACACCCCACTAAGACGTGCTTGCTGTGTTCCTTCTAACCCCGGGGCATGAACTGCCACG